TCATAATGAATAATAATAATAATAACACGATTTATAGCGCGCGTTTTCGCAAGTATCAATGCGCGACTAAGGACAACTCCAGAAGACAAGTTACAGATTATGTGGAGAGAACAGATCAGTTTCAGTCTGCCCTTAAAGTTGCCAAGAGAACTGATGTTGCAGATGTTGTGTGACAAGGAATTCCAACACCGGGCATGCCGGGGACCAGACACTGAGATGGCCCTGTCCCCTGCCTTTTTGAATGTGCGTGGAACTCTAAGGTTGTTACTGGAGCGGAGGCCACTACGGCTGGGTGCATTAAGGTTGAGTGATCCCATTATGTACTGCGGCATTGTGTTATGAAGTGCTTTGTGCATGAAAACTGCTATTTTGAAGTTGATGCGTTGTCTAACTGGTAACCAATGTAATTGTTGAAGGAGTGGAGAGGCATGTGTGTATTTGGGTTGAGATAATGTGATACGAGCGGCATTGTTTTGAAGCCGTTGGAGTCAATCAACTTCATACTGATTAATACCATTGAGAAGAGAGTTGCAATAATGGAGTCTGGATAGTACAAGTGCTCTGACAGCGGCGTGGCATGTGTTTGTGTCTATGTATTAACGAATCTTGGATATGTTCCTGTTGTGGTAGTTGATGGATTTGCATATATAATGAATGTGGTCATCAGTGCGATAAATGAACATTTCCTTGACAGTACCAAACGCATAATGTCATGTTACGTCATACTCTATAAGACTCCTGAAGTTAACACATTTAATTGCGAGTTCCCATTCCGGAACTGAGTCCGGCTTTTTAAGCCTGAATCATGATCCATGGTATTGCTTGCTTACGTCACTGCAAACAATTTTAGTCCATACTATAGTACACTGATCACTCTCGGGGGCCCTTTGCTCTAATTAAGTTTACTCGAAAGTGATTTAGCAATTAACAAATTACTTATCTTTACAGTACACAAGGTAGGTACGTAGTAGAACAAACATGCATAGTCTCGCCATGTCTCGCTAACCAAGTGTCAAGACATGACACTGTCTCAGTGAGTTGACGAACTACTTCCCATAGTTTTGCCATAGCTATGCATAGGTTTTGCTTATTAGGGAAGTAAATTATCAATGGAATGTGAGGATTACTGACATTTCTGAGGAAATTGCATAGCAGGCATAAGAGAGTTACGGTAGCGTCTTTGGTCTGTATGTGGTGAGCAGGTGGCACACACAGACACTATTTATCTGCACACCTGTGCCCAACCCTCATCCTGGTGCCACTCGGCCTAATCCCTCCCCCTCCCAAAGGCTTACCTTGCCTATAAACACCCCTCCCTTCCTCTCATCATTTGATCTAAAGACATACAATGTATGCCCACAACTGCACTTACATACTTTATCCTTGGCTTGAATTTCAAAGGAACAACCATGCCAAATAGGCTAAATGCTCTGGAAAATATCCCTTGGCAATACAATGTGCATGTTCTGTTTTGTCGTTTTGTAGAAAACTCCATCAAAATCATTGCATTTCGTGCACGTTTGCCTAGTAGTAGGAGAGCAGGAAGACTTGGGTTCAAGGCTCACAGTAAGCATGTCAATTGTCTGTTTCTCACAAGCTGTAAGAAGAACTGAGTACCGGTATACACGTATATGTGGGACGTATATCTACTTTGTTGAAAGGGGCCAATAGTTAAGTTAAACATGTGTTTGTACCAGCAGGAGCAGAACAGTTTTGAAAGGGGGGTGGGGGTCTTTCTAGGTTTTGGTTTTCGGTGACTGTTACACCCTTCCCCCTCCCAAGTTCCACTGCCTGTTGGCTCCGTGCGCCAACAAAAGAGGGCGCGTTTTTACCTCTTTTGAGAGCTCCGTGGACGGGACACACAGTGTGCGCGTACTGTACTGTACTGGTTCGCGTGCGAAGTACGCACGACTTCCTGAACGTGCAAAAGCTTTAGCCACCGTGTCTTCGTGTGAGCATCAGGCGTCGTTGGCGCGTGAAAACTTTCAAATTCAACTTGCAATGGTCTCCGAGACTAATCCCCGCCTCCAATAACTTTGGATACATTCGAAATACGCAGTGGATGCATCGGGAACCAGTCTAGGTCACCCCAACTCTCCTTTTCTGGCTGATGATGGGGTACTTGTGCACGGATCCCATATGGTAACTGCAGTTGTATGTATAAGGCCTTCCAGATGATCGAAAGCGATTGTATTTCCAGAGACGAAGACTAGAGAACTTATTTTTTTTATATTATCCAGATAAGGCCAAGAGCTAGTACAGTATTTCAGGACCTACTAAAAGTGGGAGGGGGGGGGGGGGGGGAAGGAGGGACCAATGGCCCCCCTCCTTCCGTCTGTGGTCCTTTCTCTATGGTACCCCATATCTTCTTTGTGTGTGAGAAGAATGTCTTAAATTGGACTCGACTGTGATGAACCAGTTAATTTGATGACAAAACAAAGGTAACATGCAGTGCACATTTTCTTTGTAAATTGAAGTTAACTTTCTCAGACAACTCTCAAAAGAGACAGATGGACTTTTTAATATATACAAAATAATGTAGGCCTACTACAGCGAAATCCTTTACTTGTTGAAAATAAAACATTATTGTACTCGAACATCTTAGGTCCATTGCTAAAATAATAAAATAGCCAAACTTTATTTTCACTTTTTAGCATTTCAGCTTTAAGTTGTGCCCTACAATGTACATGCATGTACATGTACACTGATTCGCTGTAATGTTCAGCACCTGTGGTCATAACTTGTCGCTTATTACTCCATATCGCGGCCCAATAAAACCTGCATTGCTGTCAATGTTGACATTCTTACAAATTGGGGTTGTGGGACCAGGGCGGGTGCATATGTGCCACAGTAGGGGTTTGAACCCCTGACCCTGTGCTTGCAAGCACAGCAGGCCTGTGGAACTGTTTTCTAGTCAACAAGGTGTTTGTTTGGTCTAGAGAATAGAGGAGTGCTCTAGCTCATTGGTGTGGTACTTAGCACTCAGCAGAGTTCGTTAATTTGTGAAGGGTTCAAGCAGGTGTAGTTATTGATTGTTTACAGGCACATTGACAGATTCCGTACAGTGACGCTGATATTTTCATTTGGGTATTTATTTTTTTTGGAAATAAAAATGTGTTTGGCCCCTACATGTGCATGTTTAGTAATTGATGTTGTTCCATTGTAAATTAGCCTATATACCCTGATTATAAAGAAAACAGGTGACCTCAAACAATGGGCGATTTCGAAGAATACAGAACTTTGGCAACACAAATATGCCATACACGTAATTGAATCATAATATGATTGTGAGAAATGAATTGTTAGAATTTCAGATAAATCCCTGTGACACTGTCAACTTGCCATCTTTTGGACTAGGACCACGTGATGTTTATCAGTTTATGCTTTTTGGGGTAAAAAAAAGCATTGTTCAGGAGAGTTGGCTTATGTTGGAGGCCAAATGCTCAAATGCATGTTTGTATGGAATCCCATTGTAATTACGTTTTATTCTGTTTTCTGACTGGACGAACTGCGTTACATGGTGCAAAAGATGGAATCGAATGAAAAAAGGTTGCATTACAGTACATTGGCAGGATTTACTAGTGCATTTAGCGGTATGCTACCAATACCATACAGTGTCTAAAATTAGTTTAATAACTACATATACATGTAGGGCTGTCCTGAATACATGTGTACCGAAAAATCGAAAATATTCGATCCTCAACCGAATATTCGAATAGCTTGTTGCCGGTTTTAATATTTGAGAAAAGAAAAGAAAATAAACCTACACAAATTGTTGAAATTGCAGCGCTTTATTGTAAGGCCAAAAAAAAAAAGTCTCCGGTTTCTGGTATGCGCTCGCGTCGCCGTAGCCATGGGCGTCAGCAAAATGAAAAAGTGTTTTTTTTTCAATAAAAGATGATGTCTCAAAACCGCCAAACTCACTGGTCTGACTGGAATCCTGCTGCTGCACAATTTTAACGTGTTTTTAGATAGGGTTATGATCGAGAATAAGCTTTATGTGGCCTCTCTGGACTCCCATAATATTTGCACTAAGTTTAGTCGGGCACCACTTGCAGTCATCAGCCGACATTTGAAGCAAAAAAAAAGGGTAAAAAAAAAAAAGAAGCCACGTCGCCGCACCACTTTTTGGGCAAGCTTTTTTTGACCTAAGAAGCCAAATATTTTTTTACGGTAACTTTTTTGTCGATCGCGGTTCATTGTTACCATTCTTTTAGCAGGCATAAAATACTGTAAAACACTCCTGCGTTTCATATTATTGATTGCCGCACGCAAATTTTAACCAGCGAGCTTTCCATGCAAATTTTGACTGGCACAGCGTGCAGTTGCAGAGATGCCAACCATTACTCTTTTGGAGTAATTATTAGGATTTTGAGGCATGTTATTACTCTTGAAAATTCCAGCTGTCCTATACGCCAACATTGTGGTTACTCTGAAAAGTACTGTGGTTACTCTTAAACTGACTGTTGTCTTATGTATTTACATTAGCATTACTCTTTGCAGGAAGAATCATTACTATTTTGTAGTCTGTAAAGTTGGCATCTGTGCAGTTGCAGCTGGCATGTGTAAAACTTGTTTGGAGATAATTTTTAATATTTGAACATTCGGTGAAAACGCAGTTTCGAATAATTGAGTACTAAATGACTCGAAAATGTACAGCCATATCAATGACCCACCTATATAGCTTTAAATGTTACGTATGGTGACCCAATATAGCACTTCAAATCTGGTGGCCCTTGGAGATGCGAGCAAAGATATTGACTCAAACATCATAGTGTATTATTTTAATTCTGTCTAATTTAAAAGGCACTTCATTCCCTACTCAAAAGGACAGAATTCAAAACATCAGTACAATTCCAAAATCATTTAACCAGCAGCTGTGTTCTTCCTTTTATTGGAGGGAAGCACTTCATATAATGCCTGGATCTAGTATCTAGAGATGATATCTTCATGCTGTATGTACATTCAAGATGTAACAAGATTCCTGCTCCGCCACTTACCATATTTTTATAGTATCCTCCCCTTCCTTCAGAGATTGAAGCTCGCAAAGTGTGCTGATCAACTTGTTAAACTCCCAGGCAATCCAATCAGCTTACATTATACACTTGCACCCAAGCCCTCTATTCCCAAAGATACATTTGTAATTCACAGGGAAAAAAAATCTGAGTAAATTCCAGTCTGTCCAGTGGGCAGCAAAATCTCCAACAGAAACGCCACAGGGAAAAATCGTCTGGCGGGTTTTGGGGAGACAACTGTTATTGTCCAAGGAGAGCTCTAGCAGTGAAAAGTTAATCCTCTGTGGTAGCGTCTTGGCTAATCAATGAGGGAATTCTTGAGAAAGAAAATAAATAGATCAGTGTAGTGTGTCTCACTATTCCTACTCATTGACCAACACACACAAGTATGTGTGTGTAGTCACTCCCCAGTCACTGCCAGTCTGTGATTGGTCAATTGGGGTCTTCTCTGTTACAACTCTGAGCCAATCAGGAGTCATAGATTGAGTCATGCTGATAAGCAGCTGTGATGTCATCTACATCTTATTGACTGATAGGTGCATGTACATCCATACATGTACAGTACATGTATGTATGCACTCTGTAATGTACATGTACATGTACATAGTACAAAACAACTACTTGTACAGTACATGTATTCCATTGAGTATTGTGGTTTTTAGGATCTATTTTGTGAGTAATGTCTGCTTCAGACCATGTCATCTTTCAGACTTGTGAAAAAAATCTTCAAGCTTTACAGAGAAGAAACCTTGTAAAGTTGTAAACACTAAAGCATCATCTATTCCTACATGTTTTATCAGTACACGAGTTTTCTTTACTGGCATTTCCTAATTGCTTGGTGCAAAACTCTTAGATGGAGTGTCCTTAAAATTGTTGAACAAATTCACATAGATTTTATTACATGTAATTACTGCTGTGCCAGCAAAAGGTCTAGATTGCAAACTAGGTAAATCAGAAAGCTAAAAACAAATACTCAAAACTGTTATAATATTAAAGTCTTTAAGCATCAAATCTTCAGTCCAAACTAGAGTCCCTTAGTGGTCGAAACGACCTTTGTAGATAAAATTAAGTTCAGAAACAGAAGATGAAGACTTTATGTAGTTGATGTCACAGGTCTTTGATATTAGACAATACCAGAACAAACCATGAAGTTAGTTTATAAATGTGTCTTTACGTACCTTAGCAGAAAGATCTATCGGCAAAAGTCTCTGATGAGGTGATAGCTGTTTGAACTACTAATTAGTCGCGACAAAGTTGGGTGTTGTGAAGAACTTTATGTAAAATAGTAACGGATCCAGACATTTTCAAAGGGGACTGGGGGGGGGGGGGGGCTTTGGTGTTAGTTATAAGAACACAGGCCTGACCAAGGGCTGATTCAGAACACATTTTTTTTTTTGGAGGGGGGGGGGGGGAGCAAAACAAACTTTGTTCACCAAAAAAGTTGATCACAAAATGTTTGGTGTGGGGTTTGGGGCCTGCTTTAGGGCCCCGATTTTTTTATTCTACTGTTGTGCGATCTGAGGCAATTTCTGACCACTTTAACCACTTTGTTCTAGCAAAAGATAGTGGTGTTGTCACAGTGGCTGCCTTTTTTGTGACGTCACTTAAAAAAACCCCAAAATGTTGGGTTCGTTTTTTTGGGAGGACCATGGCCCCTGGTAGGCCCCCCTTGATCTGCTGTTGGCCTGATGGCTGATGCTTTGAAACAAGATTAACGGTATTGTTTGTCATAAATTTGTGAAAACATACATTTCTCAAATTTACAGTTTAATAAGTTATACATATACGGTACATTTAATCAGACAGAAGGAGAATGGTTGTCCACATTCCACTACATCCAACCCCCTAAATCCTGCTTTAACAAGATTTCAGAAACTTGTTTGATTTTATTTCAGCGCACAGTGTGTCCCAAAAGAAGTTGTGCCAACAGATATCCGGTAATACCTCAAAAACTACTCCCTAAATCCCAAAGAGTTAAATTAGGGACTAGACATTGTAGAGTGAAAATCACTCTCATTTTTAGATTGAAGTGGTCTGAAAAAACAGACCCACATCCGTCGAAGCTCAAGTGAAAACTCGATCTTTTCCATTGACGGAATTTCACTCGGAAACGTCTTGTCCCTAGTTTCCAACTGTGGGAGTGAATCTTCACTCGAATGGAGTGAATTTTCACTCTTTGGAAGAGAGTTCTTACATTTGTAACATGCGTACCGTATTTCATCTTGATGGAGCATATTGATTAAATACTCTTGTGTATATACAATGTAAGTGAAAATCCGTTCATACAAACCAGGGATCTACTATTGGTTGTTCACCCATTCCCAATGGGATGGGATTTACACAGTTAACATAACTTACAAGAGTGAAAAGGCCTGCGACAAACTGATGCACTGATATCACTAACTGTGTAAATCCCATTGGAATGGGTGAAAAACCCATAGCCTTTTACAATATGTTAGATCTCTGGTTTGCATGAACAGATTTCCTTGGCATTTTTACTGAATATACACAAGAGTATAATTAATATGCTCCATCAAGATGAAATACTCATGTTAAGTAGTTTTTGAGGAATTCAAGGATATCTGCTTGCACAATTTTATTTGGGACACTCTAGCCTGTGCACGTATAGCAGATGATATTGGACCATGGATGAAACTGGGCCCTTTTATGCCTGTCCCTGATCAATCTGTGTGGCCCGGTAATCTCCAAGTTGTAAATCAGCAACTCTCTCTCTCTCCCTAAACCTCCACAGTATGCTTCACCATCAATCATTTAGTTGCTGTGTTTAATACAGGAGGTCAGGTCCAGATCTGAAGGTGTTTACTAGGGTCCCAACACAAAACAGGAAACTCCAAACACTCACCAGGAGTAAATAGGAACAATCTCAAGAGTGCAGGTTGAGTAACAGACGGATGTTTGTCCGATTTTAGGGTAGCCTTTAGTCAAGTCCCACGCGCCTATACCCGGACCATCCGGCCAAGTAACGCACCCCGGATGCTGGCACGTAAAAAGACTAGCACGAGCGGTGAAGCCGCGAGGGCCTTTACTATCTGGTAGAACTAATCACTTATTCATTTATTCACGTAATATAAATCAAGGAATATAAACCAATTATCTAATGGTGGTTTGCGGTTACCAGCAACAGCACCCGCGCCATGGCGCGCGTGCTGTCTGGCGCCAGACGACGGCTGATTTGCGTTAGTAATTCTGCATTTTCATTGGTCAATTCACAACGGGTAATGCATTATGCATGTCTACCAAATCGGTAGACAAATGTAAAGAAAAACATAAGCGTTCTCCACGAGATGGTAAAGGCCCTCGCGGCTTTGCCGCTCGTGCTAGTCTTTTTACGTGTCAGCATTCGGGGTGCATCACGTGTCCGGGTGAACGCGTGGGACTTGACTAAAGGCTAATTTTAGGGTTGAGCACCCCTGAGTTGAGCTAGGTATGGCCAGAATAGGTACCAGCAGACCCAGAATGTTTAGCAGTGCTTTCGAGATAGAGTCCCTCAATAGACCTTTATCGTGCTGCCACCATTTAAGTCATGTTCCCTGCATCCAATAACAGACTGAATGATTTTATTTTTTCAAAAAGGAACCAGACTATTTTTCCTTCCAGCCTTGCTTTTGTTACGTTGATTTGAATGGGAAAAAATCAAGATGGCCGCAACATGATAATGGTCTATACCCCAAACACTCACCAGGGGTAAATAGGAACAATCTGAAGAGTGCAAGTTGAATAATGGAAGGATGTTTGTCCAGTTTTTTGGGGGACTTTTTTGGAATGGACGCGCGTGTGGAACCTGCCGGTTGCTAGCATTGCATAATGAGAACTGCAAAGTCAAACGCACAGTTTCATGTCCGGCAGGACATCAAAATCTTCAGTTATCAAAGGTTACATCGCAGTGATTTAATTTCTCAGACATTAAGTTACAACCATTAATCTTTTTGAGTTATTGGCCCAATTCACCTCAGGTGCTATGCACCACTCGGGTGTTAAAAACGTCATATCCCTCATCACAGCTGTCAACAATTGTTAATTGTAAAGTGCTTGAAGATTATTGATAGGATGGAAAGCGCTATGGAGTCCATAATTCTGCTGCATTAATTAGGCAGTTAATCTCCCAAAATGTATAGCTTCACCTCTTTATAACTTGCCTGAAGATCCCTTTTTTTGGTTATAGTTATGCACTCTCCCTTCCCCCTAACCGGCACCTGCTTGTCAGGGGTGCTACGTGCTGTTTCAACCCCTCAAACCAAAGTTCATTGGCAGATCCATTAGCAAGTGTCCTGTACTATCAATCAGAGAGTGACACATTAGTGGTTGAGGTCATCTTAGGTCTGTTTAGTGGGAGGTACATGTGTATGGAAGGAGATTCGGTAGACCCCCTTGATGACATACTACAGATGGGTCTGAACTTCAGAGAGGAAGGTGCAGGATGCACTGAACCAATTCAAGCCCCATTGAAAACAGTGTAAAATCAACAAAGTTCAGGGCCAAATAACTTGCAAGCCGACATCACTGGGGTTTCTGAAACAAAAATTAAATTATTGTCTTGTACTTCATCTTTTCATTTCTTTTCAATTTTGGGTAGACTAGCCAATTACATTTTTAAATATTCACACCAAAACAAAATCACCTCCCGAAAAGTGGTAGTTCCCGAGTCTGCATGTAGCCATTTTACAAGTGGCATCCTTCCACTTTCTCAGGCAAAGAGGGCCCATTTTTCAACCGTAATTTTATCAAGCCTGCCCTCAGATGGAAGCCCATAAACCAGGGAGTATAGTTCCTTGGCTACATTTACACAATTCCACCATTTTTAAAGCCAAACGGTCTCCGTTTTCAAAAGAAACTGTGGGGTCACTTTTTATGCTAATCAGCTCGCGTAGAAATTCTCACTTGAATTAGTTCACTGCACCCTATAGGCATTAGGTTAGGCAGATGGAGGGAGTACATGTACATATATGTTCTGGCAAAATGAGACAGAACTGGGCAAGCGGTTGAAATGAGGGTTTGTGGGTTTTAAGAAAGACAATAAAATTCTCCTTACAGTACTTCAATCAGACATTCAGTTGACAAGTTATGACTGTTTAAAGATTGCATTTATGTCAAAAAGTAATTTACTGAGAAAAAGGCCTTAAAAGTTTCAAGATTTGTAATATGTGAATATATGTACATGTAATATATGCAAATTGTTTCACTTTTATTCCACAATTTTTATACTATTTCTTTAAAATATGTGTAGTAGACATATAGAGATAACAGATATCAATCTGAAAATCGAAAAAAGAAATCTCTCCCGTTTAATTTGTTTCCATTTTTCTCCACTATGGCCTGTGCCCAGTTCCGTCTCATTTTGCTAGAATGTCTCACAT